CGCCTGGTCCTTTAATTGTTGGCACGTGGTCGCTGTGCCTCCCCATCCCGCACCAACCTCCACCACTGATTGAGTCAGGGGCGGATCCAGAGAGAGTGGTCACGGGGCCCATGACCCATCGTGGTACCCCGAAGTGGCTCATAGACTTCGAAGGGGCCCGTTGGTGAGCGAACGGATACAGTTTTTTAAACACAAAACGCAACAAAATTTGTTTGGACTTTCAGGCCACCGAGAACAGTTGCAAACGAAATTGAATGGCCTACGAGAAAAGATAAAAAATCTTCAATAATGGAAAAAGTTGTTAATTGGAAATTACAAGCCTTATCACGCTGTCGAGGGTCCTATCCTGTGTCCGGGGACCAATATGCCCACTCGCAAGGTCATTTCGATCGTTAAGGAGCCTTCCGCTCGGGTACACTCCATCTTTCGGGGGCCCTCCGCACTGGGTTTTGGGCACTAGTTACTTCAATGGAGGGGCCTACGCTCTATGCTCTTGTTGCGGCCCCTTCTGATAAGCTGCTCAGACACATTCGGTTGTTAGCGGGCCTCTGCGTCTGGTCTTGGTAACTTCCGATTTGAATGGGGGGGGGGGGGGCTACGCTCTTGTCGGGAGCCCATCCGTTAGCCTGCTCAGGCACATTCGATCGTTCGGGGAGGGGGGGGGGGACTCTACACCGGGTCATCCTCTTTTGGACGGTGGGTCTACGCACTTGTCGGGGGCCCTCTCTGTTCGCCTCACTGTTCGACCACACTGGATTGGTCGGAGACCCTGCACATTGGGTTTCGCTGTTTGAATTTAGGGCCCTGCGCTGTTATCAGGGTCCATCAGATAATCTGTTTGAGACACTCCATTATTCGGGACCCTTTGCACTGGGCTTTCCGCACTTCTTATTTGAAGGTAAGGCATTGCGTTCTTGTCGTGGCCCCTTCTGATAAGCCGCTCCGGTGCATCCGATTGTTGGGCGACCTCTACGTCGGGTCTTGGGTACTTCCTTTTTGAGTGGGGGTCTTCACGTGGCCCTATCTGTTAACATTCTCGGGCACCCTCGATCAATCGGAGCCCCCTACATCGTACGGTGGATATTTCACATTTGAATGGATGGCCCTACCTCTTGTCGGCGGCCCCATCTTTTCACCTCCTTTGAATTTAGGGCTCTGCACTCCTGTCGGGGGCCGTCTGGTTATCTGTTAGGGTACACTCCACATTTCGGGGGCCCTCTGCACAAGGTTTGGATACTTCTTATTTGAATGGAGGGCCTTACGCTCTTGTCGGGCCTCTCTGATAAGCTGTGCATTTGGGGTGCATTTTATCGTTCGGGGGCCATCCGCATTGGTTCTTGAGTGCTTCCTATTTGAATGAAGAGCACTACGCTCTTGTTAGAAGCCCTATCTGTTACGACTCTCGAACACACTTTATCTTTCGGGGACCCTCTTCATTGGGTCTTGAGGACTTTCTATTTGAATGGAGGTCCCTGAGCTCTTGACGTGGGCCCGATGTAATAACCTGCTCGGGAACTGGCCATGCGCTTCTGTCGGGGGCCCCCCATCTGTTACCTGCTCGGGCACACTCGATCGTTCCGAGGCTCTCCATGCTGTGTTTTTGTTATTTCTTAGTTGAATGGATAGTCCTATGTTCTTGACGGGCCTGCTGCTTTTCCCTATTCAGCTGCTGGTGCCGGTGGTGGATACAGATGGGGAGGGGAAGGTACAGGATCATACCCCCCATGAACCACGCCGAGGGACCTATAGGCTCCCAAGGGGCCTACAACTGGCCGACCGGACGCAGTTTTCTAACAAAACGTTACATGCAACTCAGTTGGGCGTCTCTGGGCCTACAGATGACTAAGAACGGTTACTGGCAATAGTAAAGACTTTATGAGCAGATGAAGTTAATTCTTTGCTGATTGAGAAGGCGTTGCTTGGGGAAATTTTGGGGTCGATTACGGTGTCCAGAGACAGCGCTGTTGCATGGACCCAATATGTCCACTTGCCGGGCCAGTCTGATCGCTAGGGAGCGTTTTACGTTGCCCTTGATATCTTTGCACTTTCTCGTGGGGCCCAATGCCGCTGTTCGGACGCTATCTGGTTCTATGCCTGAGCACTCTTGATCGATCAAGGTTTGCTCCACGGATTTCTCCCCTTTTCCCGAAAGGCTCTGTACGCTTTTCCGGGGCGTCAAACGCCAGGGTACACTCAGTTGCTCAGGGGCCCATCATATTAGTATCGGGTTCTTTCCACTTACTCTAGGGGCCTGAGCTCTAAAATGGGTGAAGGGTCCGTATCTCCCTGGATTTCAGCTGAGCGTATTTTGCCCAAAAAAGATCGCCGAAAATGGTATTATCTGTTTTTATATTGGCATCTCACAGACGTTTATTATATCTCAAACCAATAAGGCGGAAGAACTCCCCGACATCGACCATATCACTCCTCTGTTTTTTTCACAAAGTTTAGACTTGACACGTGCTCAGGCGGGGGTCAAATTGTCCCCACCCCGAATTTTTTTCTGGAACGATTTCGGAATGGCGCGGCGTAGCCGCGCCAATTTTTGCATAGCTGTAGACAAATAAATAGCGGACCGTCTGACATCAAACATTAAGATGCACTATGTAACGCCGCTGACCTATGGCAGGTCAGAGTTAGGTCATGGTTTCATCGAAGGCAATTTTTTCGAGAATCGTTCAGTCTGATCCAACAACGGAGTGTTCAGCAAAGCCATATACCTCTGAGATATTTCCTTAGGATACACAACAATTGAATAAGCAAATGAAATTGAACTAGGGTCAGGTGTTGAGGTCAGACCACGGTCAGGACCAACCGTTTTTATTACTCTAGGGCTTGCTGTATGGGGTAGTTTCTGGTGCTCATTTCAAATTTGTTCATAACAGAAATCACATTTCACACCTTCCATGGGCTTCTTGAATGTCAGAATAAGCCACTGATCTAAATTACCCAGGTCAACACTCTGTTTTTAGCAGCATACTGTCTAGCGTAATCTTTGTCGCTTATCCAACTGCAAAACTGCAATCTTGTATGATCTTGGTCGCCATGACTTTCGCAAGGTCACACCTCAGGAACCTCAGGAAGGATCAGCCTGCAGGCCACATCTGGATGGCAGCAGGCGGTTGGTGACGAAGTGTCATGACCGTCAACCCCAGACCTTTTAGCGCAAGCAGCCTAGGGTTAAACTAATGCGCAGCTGTAGGCCGCTGCGCAAATAAAATTGAGGCACAGTCGTAAAACCAAGCGGTGCAAATAAACCAAAAGCATTCAGATAGTCGAAAATGATCGTTCATCAATGGTCAGTTCTTATCAAGATAGTTAAGATATCGGGAACAGCTGAAATATCCCCGGAAATGTTTGGGTGGGCGAAATTTAGTAAAGCTCCAGAATGCTTTGTTTAGCATAGCGTGAAGTCAGTGGAAGGACTTGACCCACTTATGGAATCTGCAACATCTTTGCATCAAACTGCACCGCCTGCATATTTTCGTAGCAATTTATGACAGAACTACGGGCACCTGATCCATGCAGTGTACTAAAAACCGGTGGTCTTACATAACCTGCAACTTCACACTTAGAGGTCACCCAGGGTTGCACCACACATTGTTGGATGTCTATTTTTCCATAGGTTCTACATGCCTACCAAATCTCGTTGAAATCGGAAAAGTCCGAGTCCAAGCGTGCCCTATTGTAAGACCTAACGTGGAATGACCGAAAGCGGGTCGATGTACTTTGGTAAGTCACAGAACACCAGAGGCCTCAGTGCGAGGCCGTCCAAACTCCAGGCGTCCTGTTTGGTACACCGATCCAACTTCGGCCGCGTCCATGCTCTGCCAGCAGAACCGGGCCTGAAAATCCTGATACACCCGGATCATGATACACCCGGATCATGATACACCCGGATCATGATACACCCAGATCCGATGGTTCGCCTCCGTCGCACGCCATGTTCAGAGGTCGCAGACGGTGTACGCCACGACGCAGCACATCAACTGGCAATAGCAAGCACTCATCTGTCTGCGATATCAAGGCGGGATCCTGTTGCTTCGACACCATTGCGGTAGTCTTGCTTGTTGGTCACTTTCATCGACGCAAGTAGCTGTCTGTAGTTTTAGTAGTGCTATCGGCGCCAGCATCTTGTCGTCTCCGTGGTCTAGGGGACAGATGCTGGACTCGGAATCCAGCAGCACTGGGCACGAGTCCCAGAGCGGGTGCATCGTTTGGCCCGACTGAAATGGAAAGGCCAGCTGGTAACTGGGCAACGAGGGTCAACCCAGGCCCGGGGCAGCCGTGCCGCAGCATTATACGGCACGTAAAACCCTCCACATGCCTGTCTGGGGAAAGTGCGGAGGCAAAACTATCCGTTAAACTGGACGGTACGACTTGGACGGTGGGCTTAGTGTACACTTAACGGGCTATTCTTAGCTGGTGCTCTAGACCCAAAGCTACCCATGCTAACCACTAAAGAATTATTTAAAAACATGAAATGGAGCTGCGACCTGCAACGTCAGAATCGTGTGCGTGCTATAGCGGAAGTAAAAAAGCGACAAAGCCGCTAAGGATAGAGTTGTCTGTTCCCGCATCTGGTGATGTGCGGGCTCCCTGACGGCTGTCCCACCACGGCCCTGCAGCTCCATCTGGTGATGTGCGGGCTCCCTGACGGCTGTCTCACCGCGGCCCTGCAGCTCCATCCACCTGCGGCCTAGCCGTCGTTCCTGCCGGCACGTGTCGCACGACATGTGCGCATCACCGCGGGGCGGCCGGTGACCGCACGTTGCCTGCGGCCGCGGATGTCAGCTGAGCCGTGGCACCGCGTCTGACCCTGCAGACCACCTGGGCCGGCGTGACAGGTGACCTTCAGCCTGTGGCTGACACCGGGCCACCTCAGACCTTTGCTCGAGTTATCTCCGACGGCGCACCCCAGCCTTTCGTGCCTCCCGCTCCGTAGTTTGTGTCGACGCCCGCCCACGGTCGGCCGTCCACCTATAAATAGGCAGCGGCCAAGCCAGGAGCGCATCGACGTCCAAAGCCAGAGCCGCGCCAACATGCTGCGCGCCGCCCTCCTGCTGGCCTCCCTCGGGGCCACATCGCTCGCCACCTTCCACAGCGGCGTCGTCTCCCGTCTCGGCGTCGGCTACGGCCACGGCTACGGGTTCGGCGGCGGCGTCAGCGCCGGTCTGCTGCACCAGCTGAGCCTGGGCGGCGTACTGCCGGTGGACGCGCTACGGCCGGCCCTGCAGCTCGTGCAGCACCGCTACGCCGGCATCTCGCAAGCGGCGTCGGCGCAGATCATCCGGCTGGCCGTCACCAGGCCGCCGGCGCTGCTACTGCGTCGCATCAGGGTACCCGCGGTGAGCACTGTGTCCAATGGGGTCACGTCAGCACTTCGCAACTGCGGGGGGCGCCGAGTGTGGTCAGGTCGAGAACTTTGACCTCGCACTATCGTTAAGACCCGTCATGGCCTAGGCCTACTGTGTTCAATATTATATGAGTACTGTGTTCTATGAGTGATGTGTTAATCAGAATCTGATACCTAAAACGCGAAAATTGATGCGGGCAAGATTGATCGTGTACGATTTACGCTGCAGAGTCAGTTTTCCGAAATGCCAAAGTGGCTCAACAACTACACCTAAGGCTCTGTTTTATTGCAGAGCGTCGTTTTAAATTATTTCCATGCACCGCCACCTCTTTATCCCCTAATCAGCAAATCTGCCAAAGTGAACATAGTAGACCAATTTTTTGTCCAATCATCAAAAGAGCATATCAGATCTTCTTGTATTACGCCTTGCTTCCGCGTGCTAATTATTATTATCATAATCATTAGGGGTCTTTTGAGCTCATTACATATGTTTGCGGTGTGCCCCAATGGTGGTGGCGTCTTTATATTAGCTACCTCCAGTGGTGCACATGGTAATTTTGCTTAGGGGTCACACCTGACATTGATACACGGACAAATACCGGTACAAATAGCTCAAACAGAGGCCAGAACAGATACCGAACCAGCCCCAAGCACTGTCAGACCGCGTCAGAACCACACGTTCTAGCACGTAACGCCTATGAAAAGCGTCAACCGTTTATGTGCTCACTTGCATTGACACAGTCCCGCGTCCACCTCCGTCCCGGTCGTCCGGCGTCTGGCCGGCCCGCCTCTGCGGCGCGCCGGCGCCGGCGCCGCCGCCGCCGCGCCGGGCGCCCTCGACTCAGGTGACGTCGCTGGCAGGTGCCGGCGCTGTCCGGCCGTCTGGGGTACCTGCGATCCCTGCTGACGGCGCTGGCGCCCAGCTTCAGCACGCCCGTGTACACCGGCGGCCTGGTCTCCCACCTGGGCCAGCTCGGCATCAATGTCCCGGCCTCGGCGCTGATTGTGAGTACACGCAAATCACGCCGATTGCGTACTTGGCTTACACGGAGGTATATCTACACAGGTGACGAGGAAAAGGCACTGGGAAAATCTCTTTAAACTGTCCAGACAAGGGTCTGAGACCATCCAGACACCGACTGTAGTCTGGATTCGTGATCTTTTGGGACTTAAGCTCAAGCAAATTAATCGACTTAGTACGCTAGTCAGACTCTGACTAGGGCTGATCAAGTCTAAACACGGTGGGTCGGTCACACAATTAATCGGCCTCGGATTCCAGCCAAGACGAATGTGAATCCACCTCAGACTCGAAGACTCGATATGTCTAAGGCTCGGACTTCTATTGGAGTCGAAATGATGCATGGAAGCGCATGTCATGCAATTGGCAAATTGGCATAAAGTTTATGCATGGACGATCTTGTTTTTGGTGCTGTTTGGCTGAATGTGTTCGGATTTGGCTAAATCGAACGTATTTGGAGGCTACTGCTAGATTACGCGAGAGAAAGCATTGGTTGCGTTTTCGTAAAAATGTGGTCTAATGCCATTCATACGGTTTAAATGCTGCCACAGGAAAACGCCTGGTAATGCTTATCAAGGCTAGGTGAAGTATGGCTTAGCTATTCTTGCAAGGTAATCCAATATTTTTGCGGTTGATCGCTATTCCTGGCACTGCGACATGGTTTTGTAGGATTGCCAGGAATTTTGACATGTCTGATATGTTTTACACACGTTTTACAAGACATGTTTTATACATGTTTAACATGACTTGTTTGACACGACATGTTTGACATGTTTGACATGGCATGTGCGACATGGCGTGTGCGACATGACAAGTCTGACAAATATGTTTGACACGTTTGACAGGTTTGACATGTTTGACATGCTTGACATGGCATTTTGCCAGGGATTTGACGTGTCGAAATCCTTGGCAACTTAGAAATCGCACTCAACATCCTCGCACCCGAAATCGGCATCGATCTGTGAGACCTTAAATCCAGACTCTGACTCATGTCCCCTGTGTGACTCATGTGGAAAGGGTGTGTTCTTGTCTTGGAGTTAATAACACCATAACTTCGTGGCTCAACCTCGGCTCAGGTTCAGCCACTCCGACCCATGCCTGCAACCGTCACTTTAGCAAATTGCATGTGTCTGTTTCGATGCTTACTCAGAGACGGTATGGTAGCCTAGTTTGATCTTTGATTCAATTACCCGTTGTCTGAAAAAGCGGTGTCCTCGATTTTCTTTGAACAGATGTGCAGTTTAAGACCAAATCACTGCCGTTCAGACTAGAACAAGAAACCAATGTGATATGTTCTAGATCGGTTGCAAACCGCTCTGATCACTGACGGACCACACACGGCGGCACGCCATGAGCTGACCGCCTGATATCGGGTGACCGGCCGGTATCAGGTGACCGGCCGGTATCAGGTGACCGGCCGGTATCGGGTGACCGCCCGGTATCGGGTGACCGGCCGCGAACGGTTCACCCGATACCGTCGTCATCCGTCGGTATTATAACCGTGACTTCGACACCAACCAGGTCTCCGGAACAATATCGATATGAGCAACACGTTTTGATCGACCTTATACCTCTGCCATGCATCACAAGTCGCGTAGATAGAGAGCCAAATTGCATGACAACGGCATCACGTGCAGCCTTACGTTATTCCAGCAGTCCAAAGCCGTCGCTTATCGTAAGTTATATCACTGGTTTTTATGTTGGTTGGTGCAAAAACAAAAAGCGAGACGAATAAGTTACAATTTTTGGCTGTTATTTTGCACCGTGTGTTTCGTACAACTAAATCGCTACACTCCATATTTCGCGCTACATGCATTCCTCACGGGGTTACCTGATTGGTTCGAGCACTTATGCTCGTTGATGTAACTTCAACTGACACTGTTTCCCCCAAGCTGAATACGATTGTAGCTGCTCGGTTCCTTCAGTGTACGTACGTTTTTCAACCTGCTCACCGTGTGCTACCCTGTTTTGCGGATTCCATCAGCATGTCCACCCAGCCCTTCACAACGGAGCTTTCTGCAGATGACTGTCGGATGATTTTGGGCAAACTCCTTGCTCCTTTGTGCTTCAGGTCCATTGGATTTACAGATGTCTTCGTTTGGTATGACAATTCTGCATATTTGTAACCAGTAGCGCAGGCAGAGGGTACAGTAGGCACGCACCAACTGCACACTGTGTCTGACTCTAGAACTTGCTGGCGCTGACCGACTGCACACTGTGTCTGACTCTAGGACCCTCTGGCGCTGACCGACTTCCGTGTGGCCAGCAGCCTGCTCGCTCCGGTGTCTGTGCCGGCCTTCAGCAGCTTCTTCACCGACCGGGTGTTGGGATTTTCCCCCCACTCTGGTAAGTTCGTTTCGTCTTACACTTACGACCCGCGCGTAGCTGAAAGCACCCTTGCCACCAGGAAGTAGGTCGTTTCGACTTTAAAGAACATTGACAGCATTGATGCCGACCAACGCTCATTCTGGATGACTTTGCAAAAGGCGTTCACGTGCAATTTCCCACTGGACGGTCAAAACAGGTGCTGGCGACAGCAGTTGCGAGACACTCGCGTTTGTCCGTTGGTTCGACCAGTCAGAGTATGCTGCTCATGAGACTGCCAGGCACACCTGGGGAACGATGGAAGCTGATTGGCGCACGCCCTGACAGGTTACTCCAGTGTTCCGGTGATCCCATCTGCCGACGTCATCGTGTCTCGGCTGGGTGACATCGCGTTCAACCAGATCCACGGCGTGTTCCGGCCGGTGGTGGCAGCGACGGGCTCGCTCGCAGCCGTAAGCCGGGCTGACGGCCGCAGCGGCGAGCCTCCAGACAGCTGTCAGACAGTCCAGACAGTCCAGAGTCTGTCCGGATGGCGCCACCGCCGGCGAGCCTCAGACAGCTGTCAGACAGTCCAGATAGTCCAGAGTCTGTCCGGATGGCGCCACCGCCGGCGAGCCTCAGACAGCTGTCAGACAGTCCAGATAGTCCAGAGTCTGTCCGGATGGCGCCACCGCCGGCGAGCCTCAGACAGCTGTCAGACAGTCCAGACAGTCCAGGGTCTGTCTGGATGGCGCCGCCGCCGGCGAGCCTCAGACAGCTGTCAGACAGTCCAGGCAGTCTAGGGCCTGTCCGAATGGCGCCGCGCGCTAAGCCGCGGCGAACTACGCCATCTGGTGGCCTTGAGCCGTAGCCGACAGTGCAGATGGCAGAGCATGTGCCGGCGTTTCAGATGACTCAGGTCACGCGTCTTTTGTAACTTATGTTGCCCTGAGCAAGCATGCATGTTGGCCGTGCATGTTGTTATCAATGTGGCAAGACTTTTCCCACTAAGTTGCCACGAGAACTACTCCAAAATGTACGGGGCCGCATCTTGATTAAAGGCAAAAAGTTTTGTCCGTACCTTCAACAATTAGAAAGGACAGTCAGGATAAGATTAAAAAATTTGCTGCCACTAAAGTGCTTTAAGTCTTCTTACAAGCTCACAGGTTCCTAAGCTCAGGAGTGATCGCGCAGATATCAGTACAGCACGTGACACTGGCGGCGATACGAGTATCCGTGACATTTCGGTTCTGTCCCCGCCGTCTGAATGACAGGAATGCCGAGTAATCGTGTCCCTTGACCTGACGGGCGCCTTGGCTGGATCTCGCTGATCCTGTGACCTGATGCTGACCCTGTGACCTGACGGGCGCCTTGGTTGGTTCTCGCTGACCCTGTGACCGGCTGCCGACCCTGTGACCTGACGAGCGCCTTGGTTGGTTCTCGCTGACCCTGTGACCGGCTGCCGACCCTGTGACCTGATGGGCGCCTTGGTTGGTTCTCGCTGATCCTGTGACCTGATGCTGACCATGTGACCTGACTGGCGCCTCGGTTGGATCTCGCTGATCCTGTAACCTGATGCTGACCCTGTGACCTGACGGACGCCTTGGCTGGATCTCGCTGATCCTGTGACCTGCTGCTGACCCCGCGACCTGACGGACTGCGTCTCGCTGCTCTCGTGAGCTGGCGGCCGACTGAGCCGCGTCTGCCTCGCAGGGCGTGGGCTCCGTCATTGCACCGGCGCTCTCGCACATCGGTCTGCCGAGCCTGCTGCGGCCGGCGGTCGTCCTCGGCGGCTTGGCCGACTACCTACGCGTGCAGCACGTGCCCGTCAGTCGGTTCGTCCGTCAGATCCGGACCATTCGGGCGCCGGGCATCATCGGTCTGATCAACCCCATCTCGGTGAGCAGGGCGACTGGTGCCGCTGATGTCAGCGGTGTGTGACGAAGCACGACTCGCCTCGCCCACCGAGCCGTCAGCCGTGCTTGGGGTGTTTTCCTGACCACCCTGAAAACAACCGCGGTAATGCTGCTGAATAAGTGGCTTTTCGAAGAAGCTGCGAGTCGCACTGAGCCTGACGCTGTTTGTCGCGCTGTTAGGGTTAAGGCACAAGCCTGCTTCAGAAATGATACAAAATCTTTTCTCCTGTACCTGGTGACTGCATGGCGACATGTGTGCACGGACTGGTCCGAGGTCACCATTTGCTAGGCAGCGTTTAAGTTTCTGCTGTTTCTACCCGTTTAGGTTGCGCCAATTGCTCGTCGTTTGAGCTTCGTGCCCGCTACCGTTATCGGGAGAGACATCCTGCCGACCCTTGCCCTGCGCTACCGAACTCTACCGAGAATACTGCAGTCGAACCTCAATTTCAACGAGATCTTGCCCGGCTACTTCGGTAGCTCTCTGGTGAGATCTTTGCTCTATGCCCAGCAGCTCAGTAGCGTACGTATGATGTAAATCATACGTACGCTATAAATGTGATGCGTATGATGTAAATCAAGCCGAGCAAATGCTGCTTCATACTTCAAGAGACTGGACCCATCGGAAAATTGCTGTTGAGTTCAAGGTGTAGGAAGATGTGAGCTGCTGCCTTAATTCAATCGACTAGTCTTTAGTCAGGACGGGTGCGATAAGAGGTGAGGACCATGCAATGAGTGCTCCACTATGGCAACGTTTTAGTACACAACTTTGCAGCCGGATATAAAGCGCAAAAGTGGCGACATGCTAGGTGTTCGGAATCGTGGTTTTTGTGTTGACACATTCCAAAGCCGCTTATGAATTTATGAAATGCTGCTCGTTCTAGGACACATGAAATCGACACATCTTGTGGCAGGCCCAATTGCTTGAAAACACATGAAAATAGTATCCAGCTGGCTAGTAAATCAAACTGTGGTGTAAGTGGCATTCAACAGCTATTCCGGAGCTCTGCAGCTTTCGGCTTTCTCTAAGCCATGTTCGTCTCGAGCTCGCAGTTTGCTATTCGAGCCGATGTGATAGGTTTTGTCGCTGAGCCAGGCAGAACACCTGCTCTCATTATCTCACTGCTGCCCCTTTCCCGGCAGGTACCCGCCGGTCACGTCCTAGACCGTGGTTTCGTCAGTGGTCTGCTCAGCGGTTTTGACGGCTTCATACACAGCCGCTTGAAGGGGTACCGAGGCAGTCTCTGGAAACGAGGCCTGTGTACGCGGGGAAAATAAGGGACGCACGTGAATGAAAGTGCTTTAAGAATGGTGATTGTGCACTGTCACGCCTCTGGTCGCGGGCTCTGCAGCCGCGCGTTATGTGCGCGTAGCCAGCTGAACTTGTGTTTGTTTTTCTTCACATGTGAAGTGTTGCGCACTGCTCTTTACGACATACATACCTCGAGAGCAAGATCATTTTCTGATGGCAATGAGTGGAAGCCCCAAGTTAGTCAGTGCTAGTGCAGTGCTACTGGGTTTTAGTGAGTGTATGTTGAACCTTAGAGCCGTCTTCACGCGGAAATGCAAAGAAATACCACGGAATTAATCACCAGCTTCATTTCAAGCTCATCCCTCAGTCCACGCATCCATTTATATGGCGGCAACCTTGCAAATGTCCGTTACGGAGCCACGCATGCAAGGCTAGGGTTGACAGCACTACGCCCCACGCACTGTAACAATACTACGCATCTTCCGTGCGGTTGTCTTGACCGCCGTCGTCATGACAACCGCCGAGGCACCTGCACTGATGCGAATAACAAAGCGTTTGTGGCTGGTCCAGCGGGCGGCAAGGGCCTACTACCGAAAAACGTATTGGTCGAACTATTAACCAATGCGCCACTATGGACCATGTGATACTCCCATTCCCAAAGCCACAGTGCGCCTCAAAAAGAGCCACTGTGGTAAACGCCAAACAGGAAAAATCAAAGCAATCGTATAACGTTTCGTTCAAATCGCGGGATAAGAGCTGGCTTAATAAATAAGCAGTGGCCGAAATAGCTTGGTTTCCATATTTGGGTGCACACAGCACGTTTCAAACTTTCGTAACATTACACGAACATTTTGTCAAACCAGTGTGTTGCAAACACTACAGAACACGCGGGTTGGAAAAAGTAAGGTAAATTAAATGTATTACTTTCATACAAGTGAGCACGCATTCCAGCGAGATTTCTCCCACAGGAGCAGATGCCTCAAATCTAAATTCTGATCTACTCAGAAGGATTTTGAGGAAACTGGTGTTACTGACTAAATCGTACGCGCCTGATCTAACAATGCCTCTGGTAGCTGCAGACAATGAACTCAGAATAAAGCATAACGAAGGTCAGCGCTTTCTTGGTACCGGAAACCCCCATTCGCAGAGCGTTAAGCCCCATCCTTCACTAACCCCACTGAAAGCAGGCGTCAGTTATCATATCTGCGTCAAAAGCACGTCAGAATGCAAAGCTTTCTTCGAAAAAACAAAAAACACCAGGATCTTGCGTATTCACTGACGCACGGCGAAAAGCACGCAACGAAAGCCTCTTTGCCAGTTTGATCTGCGATGAGATCGATCCCCTCCAGGTGAGTGACCTAACCGTCACCAGGCAGCCCTGCTCCATGTCAGCGACCTAACCGTGACCAGGCAGCCCTGTTTCTGTGACGGTGTGGAAGGAACCTCGCAGCCTCAGAATAGCATAACACCCATTGCAATTGTGGGCAAACGCCAATGAGTGACACCGCGTCATCGCCTCCCACACCTCCAGCTGACTCACGACAGCCGCCCAGGGACTGACATACCCACCGTCCAGCTACGTCACCGCCTCCCGCACCTCCAGCTGGTCCACGACAGTCGCCCAGAGAATGATATCCCCACCATCCAGCTGCGTCACCGCCTACCGCACCTCCAGCTAATCCACGACAGCCGCCCAGAGAATGACATCCTCACCATCCAGCTGTGTCACCGCCTCCCGCACCTCCAGCTGGTCCACGACAGCCGCCCAGAGAATGACATCCCCACCATCCAGCTGTGTTACCGCCTCCCACACCTCCAGCTGGTCCACGACAGCCGCCCAGAGAATGACATCCTCACCATCCAGCTGTGTCACCGCCTCCCGCACCTCCAGCTAATCCACGACAGCCGCCCAGAGAATGACATCCTCACCATCCAGCTACGTGATTAGCCTGCTCGTGGCACGGTCTTTCAAAGAACATCCGACTGACTGGTTTGTTGTTCTACGCTTGATGAAAGAACCCCCTTCCCCTCCCACCTGTAGGGGCGTAACGGCCGAGTGTTTAGCACTTTCGGCTCGCATGTGGGGGGGGGGGGGGGGGGGGTTCGAACCGTGGTCGCGCCATGGCCCCTGAGCGCTGGTATGTCCTCTGCAGTAGATGGCGCTCTATAAAAGGGTGTGTGACGTCGTGCCTCGCGTCCCTTTAAAACCCTTAATCCTGGTTGTCAGCCCGCCCATTTCCACACTGGAAGAGGTCTTATATGTACTTAGGTATATACAATAATATCCCACAATTCACCAATATGTCTTGTGTCGATTTGTTCCTGTCGAAATCCGGCGGTGGAGGACAGCGATTCAACTGTATCCACGTGCTCTTTGCAATGGACATTGCATTGGTCGCTTCCTAGCCAATTATTAGCGTCGCAGAGTGTCTGTTGATGTTGGGCTGTCTGGCTGATTCGTAGGCAGTACGTGCACTTGCACGATACAGTCGGCTTCACGACGTTATCTGCTCGGGTCGCCGAATGGTCGCATCCCTCCTGTAGAATGCTCACAAATCATGTCATCTGCTGCTAGATGCTAATAGGTTTCGTTGTGACATCCCGTTGCCTGAACCTCAGTCCGGGTTTTGCTGGGCAGTTTTTTGTCAAGTTGTGAATATGTCAAGTGTTTCGTGTTAAGTCGATGGGGTTCATTTGCACGAGCCGACGGCGCCCTCCCGGTCCGATCCCATCACACACAGACTCGGGCGCCCTCCCGGTCCGATCCATCACCAGACTCGGCCCCCATCACACACAGACTCGGGCACCCTCCCGGTCCGATCCCATCACACACAGACTCGGGCGCCCTCCCGGTCCGATCCCATCACACACAGACTCGGGCGCCCTCCCGGTCCGATCCCATCACACACAGACTCGCACTGAACGCGCACAAGGTACCCGTAGTGTTTTGATTCCCCGCGGTTCCCTCCCTTCCTGCCTGGTTGAGAGGGAAGCAACGCCATACTGCCTCAGCAGCTGAGTGCATCCCATCCGGAATTTTGAAGTTTGCCATTTAGACTTTAGCCAGTTTCGCATCTTGACTTGTTTAACTATCACCATTTTACGGTTCACCATTCGGCTTTACACCATTTTGGCATGCAGCATTTTTACATTTCACCATTCTGCAATTCGCCGTTTATTCGATGCATCTTTCAGGTACGTCCGCCTTTTATATATCGCCATTCCGCAGCTGCTATTCAACTAGCAATTGACGGAAGGTATTCTTCAAATCAGCGTTTTAATTTTTGCTCTAAGACCCCACGTGCACAATTCCCCCTTGGGTTCTGAAGGGCCCCATGGGCCCTAAATGGACAAACAGGCATCAAATGGTGCATAACTGGCCAACGCATGCAGCTTTTAATGAATGCAACACACAACGAAAGGACGTCTTAAGGCCTCCAGATGACCGTTACGTGTGACAAGCGAAAGTGAGGGGACCATTAACAGACAAAAATAATCTTTGCTGATTGAGGGCGAGGCAGTTGGGATGTTTCCAGGCACCGTTTCGCTGACCAGGAGTCGTACGCTGTTGCCGGGGGCTTTATATGTCCGCTTGTGTAGCACCCCGATCGTCACAGGGCACTTCCACGTCGCACTTGAGTTTTGTTCTTGTATTTCTTCGAAGGGACCTACACTGTTTCGGGGTCCTACACGCTAGCCTGTCAGGGTGCTCTTGATCGACCACGGACCCTCTGCGCGGATTTTTTCCATCCGCTTGGAAGGCTACGCACGCTATGCCACGGGGGGATCATATGTTCACTTCCCGGGATGCTCTCATTTGTTCAAAGGACCTTCATCTTGGTGCCGGGTTCTTTTCTCTCGCTCAGAGGGCCTTGCACTGTTGTTGGGGCCCACATAAGATAACCTTCTGAGGCACTCGGTGCTCAGTAGCCCCCCAAATGCGGAGGACCCCACACACTTCTCGGGGCACCTTCTGTTAGCCCACCTGGCTTGTCTTGCTCGCTCAGAGCCTCTCCACACTGCTCCTGTGCCTTCTCGTTTGCTCGGAGGACCCTACGCTATTGATGGGAGCCGCTCTGCCAACCTGCAGCGGAACTCTCTATTGTTCAGGTGTCGTACACATTGGTCTTGGGCTCTACCCAGCTGACCAGAATGAACTCATGACCTCAAATTGACCTCATGACTGCACTCAGTTGCCGTAGGCGCCACATGTGCCTGCGAGTGTTAGCACACCAACATTCGAGTGCCTGTGAGTGTTAGCACACCATCACCCATCGTGCCTGCGAGCGCCAACATCGCTCGTGTGTCTGCGAGTGCCAGCACACCATCACTCATGTGCCTGTGAGTAATAGTACACCATCACTCATGTACCCGTGAGTGCCAGCACACCATCACTCGTGTGCCTGTGGGTAACAGTACGCCATCACTCATGCACCAGTGAGTGCCAGCACACCATCACTCATGTGCCTGTGAGTAACAGTACACCATCACTCATGTACCCGTGAGTGCCAGCACACCATCACTCATCGTGCTTTGTCTCCTCGCGTACACGGGCCGGGCTAAATAAAGTCGGCTTTAAACCTCACAGCTTTACAAGAGGACAACTTGTTGAGGCCTTAGCCGCAGATTGCGCGAGTCGCATCTCTTCCAATGAGTTTTTACGCTCCAGCGAGGTCGTATGTCTTAATTCCTCGGCGGTTGCAATTAGTTGCAGTTACGACACACATTACACTCGTGTATCACATTCTTAACACCGCTTGAACGCTGGCACGTTTCATACTCCTTCATTATGGCCAAAAACAAAGATATGCGCATTAGTCATTAGCCACCAGCTGATCACAACATCGACTACCAGCCAAGCTGCTGGAAAACGTCTAGCCACAACCAAGCCTGGGATCAACCGTCGTGATTGATTTTGAAGGTATTTAGTACCATACTTTAAGCAATGGCAATGACAATGGTAATGACAAGTGGCAATGGTAATGACAAGTGGCAATGGTAATGACAAGTGGCTATGGTAATGGCAAGATCTACCATAATCTGGAAAACCCGACGGCGCTCCATGAATACGTATCTACCACGCCTAGCCTTCTAGGGTTGCGTACAGGAAGATTTTTGCCGCATAGCAAAACATGAAACAAGAATATCTAAATGCACTTACCCACACCCAAGCATTCCTTTTGAAGACGGTCCTGAGTTTCATGAGGGAAGACATGCTGTGTGCCGCCCTTGACATAATCATGGATGCACCACCGGGCAGATATATATTCAAGGGGCACTGGGACTCCGCGAGTGCTTATCAAATGCTTACCTGCTCTATTGCTCTTCAATTCAAAACGCTGCTATGGACGAACTGCGACAAGAATAATGAAAGACATGCCCACATA